CACAAGAGTGTCCTACAAGAGTGTCCCACAAGAGTGTCGTACAAGAGTGTCCCGTAAGAGTGTCTCACAAGAGTGTCACACAAGAGTGTCCCGCAACCGTGTCCCACAAGAGTGTCTCACAAGAGTTAAGAGTGTCCCACAAGAGTGTCCTATAAGAGTGTCCCACAAGAGTGTCCCACAAGAGTGCCCTACAAGAGTGTCCCACAAGAGTGTCCTACAAGAGTGTCCCACAAGAGTGTCCTACAAGAGTATCCCACATGAGTTTCCTACAAGAGTGTCCTATAAGAGTGTCCTACAAGAGTGTCCCACAAGAGTGTCCTACAAGAGTGTCCCACAAGAGTGTCCCAAATGAGTGTCCCACAGAAGTGTCCCACAAGAGTGTCCCACAACAGTGTCCCGCAAGAGTGTCTCAGAAGAGTGTCCCTTAAGAGTGTCCCACAAGAGTGTCCCACAAGAGTGTCCCGCAAGAGTGTCACAAATGGGTGTCCCACAGGAGTGTCCCACAAGAGTGTCCCGCAACAGTGTCCCGCAAGAGTGTCTCACAAGAGTGTCCCTTAAGAGTGTCCCACAAGAGTGTCCCGCAACAGTGTCCCACAAGAGTGTACTACAAGAGTGTCCCACAAGAGTTTCCTACAAGAGTGTCCCACAAGAATGTCCCACAAGAGTTTCCCACAAGAGTGTCCTACAGGAGTGTCCCACAAGAGTGTCCTACAAGAGTTTCCTGCAAGAGTGTCCCACAAGAGTCTCCTACAAGAGTGTCCCACAAGAGTGTCCCACAAGAGTGTCCCGTATGAGTGTCCCACAAGAGTGTCCCATAAGAGTGACCCACAAGAGTGCCCTACAAGAGTGTGCAACAAGAGTGTCCCGTAAGAGTGTCCCACAAGAGTGTCCTACAAGAGTATCCCACAAGAGTTTCCTACAAGAGTGTCCTATAAGAGTGTCCCACAAGAGTGTCCCACAAGAGTGTCCTACAAGGGTGTCCCACAAGAGTGTCCCAAATGAGTGTCCCACAGGAGTGTTCCACAAGAGTGTCCCTCACAAGAGTGTCCCTTAAGAGTGTCCCACAAGAGTGTCCCACAAGAGTCCCACAAGAGTGTCCCGCAAGAGTGTCCCAAATGGGTGTCCCACAGGAGTGTCCCACAAGAGTGTCCCGCAACAGTGTCCCGCAAGAGTGTCTCACAAGAGTGTCCCTTAAGAGTGTCCCGTATGAGTGTCCCGCAACAGTGTCCCACAAGAGTGTCCTGCAAGAGTGTCCCACAAGAGCTTCCTACAAGAGTGTCCCACAAGAGTGTCCCACAAGAGTGTCCCACAAGAGTGTCCTACAGGAGTATCCCACAAGAGTGTCCTACAAGAGTGTCCCACAAGAGTTTCCTTCCAGAGTGTCCCACAAGAGTGTCCCACAAGAGTGTCCCACAAGAGTGTCCCGTAAGAGTGTCCCACAAGAGTTTCCCACAAGAGTGACCCACAAGAGTGTCCCACAAGAGTGTCCTACAAGAGTGTCATTTGGACATATGTAGCTTTTCGAACGTGTTTGCATTCGGGTTCGTGGGCTCCATCTTGTTGCAAAGCAATTCGCAGGATCGCCAGGCGGCGTCCCATGTTTCAAGGCCCCCAGACACACCCCACGCGTTGGTAGAAAGCCGTTGGTTCTTACCCGCTTGTGAGAGGCCCTTGTTCGGGAACTCCTGGCCACCAGTGCTCCCTCGTCACTCGGGGCTGCTTGTTCCCGAATGCGTAACGAAGGGTTCTCGTTTAACTCTGGTGGTCTGGGGGTAGAGCCTTGTTCGCAACCCGTTGTCTCAGCATCCGCAACCGTCCTCAACCGTTCGCAACCGACTGCATGAGGACGCTAAGGCCGCTGCCATTGGGGGAAGCTTTTGGAGAGGGTTTCGGATGGAAATGTGATTTGTCAGATTCGTGTGAAAAAGCGAGGAATCGTGTGGAAACGTCAGATGTTGAAGTGTGGCGGATGATTTCACCGCGCAGGCGCAGCGTTTTGTGAGATCGGCAAGATTCAGAAAGAGCTGGGAGAACATGTAGCTGATTTTGAGCCTGAGCTGCCATCGGTGACCTGCCTATGCAAGATGCAGCCCCTGAGGGTGGAACTGCGATGGAAGTTGATGAGGCTCTTGACACCGAGATGGGAGAAGAACCTCTACCTATGTTGGACGCATTGTGCGTGCGTCCCATCTTTGTTGATCAGTTGACATCACCGAGTGTATTCGACTGTGAACGTCTTGTGGCTGACTCCATTCGTTTCGATCCAGATACTCACAATGGGTTCGAGGAAGTGGACTTGTGTGGGACCAAGGTTCGCGTTTGGAGACCATCTGGAGCAGTCAGCGATACCACGCTAGTGGAACTTGATCCCGAGGGGACATTCAAGGGCATGATCAAGGAGGTCAAAGAGGTTTGACCACCGTGAAGGCAGGAGTTGTCTTGACCACACCTGAGATGACAGCGTTCTGTGAGAAGCATGGCATCAAGCCCATACCTTGTCGTTGGGTCACGGCTGAGAAGCCCGAGGCCGCCGAGGGCGTGCGTGCCCGTATGGTTGTTAAGAACATAGCCCGAGGGGCAGCCACCGCCAGAGCACATGGCATTAGTAGCCCAACACCCAGTGTTGAATCGCAGCGAGTGTTGCTTGGCATCGCGTGTGGTGCATGCGGCATTGATCCGATGGCCTTGTATGCCATTGACGTCTCACAGGCATTCACGAACGCCCCGCTGGAAAATCATCGTGTTGTTACCGTGTTGTTGTGAAAATGCCATTGTCAGTCTCTACAACGTCAGGAGAACCTGTGTACCTTGAAGCGCACAAAGGTCTCAATGGCCTGCGAGTTGGTTCTCTTGCTTGGGTTCAGTTCTTTTCCAAACTTGTGAAACAGGCAGGTCTAGAGTCTAGTTTGACTGAGCCGTGTTTGTATTCTGGTTTGGTAGGTGGCGTTCCCGTTGTGCTGATTTGCTATGTTGAGTTTTGTTGGCTACACCAAAAGAAAGTGCATACAAAAATATTTTTGCTTTGCTTGAGAAGCATGTGAAGATTCGTGAAACTGGACGAATCGCCCAGAGTGGGGGAACGCTCAAATTCCTCGGAAGAACCATCACCAGGAAAGCAGGTAGCCCAGCTTTGTTTTTGCACGTTGATTGCACGTACATGGGTGAGTGCTTTCGTGAGTATAGCATTGAGAAAGGTAGTTCCAACTTTCCTGACATTCGTGGAGCAATTGAAGAGACAGTGAATCGAGAACCCATTCTGTGCAGTTACATTGGGATTAGTGATTAGCGTTTGGAGAGTTGTGTTTTTGGGGTGTTGGATGTGGCTGTGCCATTGGGATTCAGGGTGTTGCATCGAAGCTCTGTTTTCGTGACAAGTCTCAGCTGAAATGGCGATTTTGGTGGATGGGAGTGTGCTCAGAACGGGTCGAAATCATTCCAAACGTGTGATGTGGTGTAAGTTTTGTTGAAGCTCACATGATATGATATGGTCACTTTTCGTGGCAGGCGGTACTTTGCACGGGTTTTGAGGTATGGAAGCGAATGTCGCTGTGACATTGGGATTGGCGTGTCAGCGGGCGCTGTTTGGAACGGCTGGAATCGCGAAACTGCTTGGCAGGGCTGCTTGATGCGCGTGCTCCGATGGACCTTCCCGCTTGTCTTTTGGAGCAAGCCTCGCGCGAACAGCTCGTTTTGCAGACTTTGACATGTTAGTTTTTGAGGAAGTCTCGTACGAAACGCTCATTTTGGAGACTTGACATGTGAGTTTTGGAGCACGTCTCGAACGAAACGCTCGTCTTGCAACTCGAAGCGTGACTCTTAGAGAGGAAGTCTCGAACGAAACGCTCCATTTGGAGACTGCGCGCGTGACTTTTGGAGGAAGTCTCGACAGAAACGCTCGTTTTGCAGACTCCCTGTGCCCTGCGGATTTGCACGGCCCTGGTGGAAAGTGCGTTTGCGTGGCGCCCTGCCACTGGGGAGCGCGAAACATGCTGGTGTAAATGCGGCGTGTCGCTGGTGAGCGGGATGATTGGTGGTATCATGTGATATGTTTGCTTCTAGTGTGTGGCGGACCGCGTGGCGAAATTACGTCCGTGATGTCGCAGTGCCATGCGGATTTGCACGGCCTTGGTGGAAAGTGCGTTTGCGATGAGCCGTGCCACTGGGGAGCGCGAAGCATGCTGGTGTGAACGTGGCATGTCGCTGGTGAGCGACAAGAGTGTCCCACAAGAGTGTCCTACAAGAGTGTGAGCACCAAGAGTGTCCCACAAGAGTGTCCTAGAAGAGTGTCTCACAAGAGTGTCCCACAACAGTGACCCACCGAAGTGTCCTACAAGAGTGTCTCACAAGAGTCCCGTAAGAGTGTCCCACAAGAGTTTTACTACACGAGTGACCCACAAGAGTGTCCTACAAGAGTGTCCCAAAAGAGTGTCCTAGAAGAGTGTCCCACAAGAGTGTCCTACAAGAGTGTCATTTGGACATATGTAGCTTTTCGAACGTGCTTGCATTCGGGTTCGTGGGCTCCATCTTGTTTTTTTCCGAAAAGATAGGAAACACCCATGGCCAGCATCTCTCTAGATGACCATTGACCATCCCACCATTTCTGCTAATTACAAATTTTAGATGACCATCTACCATGACCCATCTCTCTCTCTCTCTCTCCCCATCCTCTCCTTCCGCCCCCCCTCTTCGCCGCCTCTTAGGCCACGCCGTGGTGTCCGAGGTCCACGAACCCCACGAGGTCCACGAACCACCCGAGGCCGAGGACCTGGGGCACCGAAGGAAGCGATCCGATCCACCTCCTGGAGGGCCGGGTCCAACGGCGTTCATGTAGACCCGTAGATCCCCCACAGGAGGGACCACATAATCCACATATATAAAAGTGCAAGCATAGATCATTGATCATAATACAAATATACAGAATCAAATATATAATAAATATATATATATAACAGGATATTGTAGCAGCTTTGCATGCCTCTTTTTCTTTCAAAACTGCATCCTGCTAACTTGCCAGCTGCTACCAGCAGCGCAAAGTCAGACAAAAACGTCTCGGGTGGGTTCCGGCCAGCCCTGAGTACACTCATTTTCAGGAGCCCAAGAGATGAGGCCCTCATACCAAACTGCCCCCTTTGGGTCGTCGTGGAAATAGACTTCCACCGTCCCATCGCTCTCCACAGCGCTCACCTCCATGGTGTCGCGCCCCTCGATCTTGGTGAATTTTGGAGATCGACAATAGTTTAATGCGTATGGAGAGTGGTAGACCCTTTCGGACTGTGCAAACCAGTGCTCCACATGCTCCTTGCCGTCGGCTAGGGTGTACGTGAGGGTGACTGGAAAGTGGTTTCCATTTTGCTCACCAACGTCCACACCCCTCAAATGTTTCCACACCAGCTGCTTGCCGATGCCTTCCACCGACAGCATATCGTCTAGATCAATGTACGCTCGAATGGGGGGGCTGCATCTGCCGTCATCCTGCAAGGCTCTCTCATCGTAGTTAGGGAAGAGCGGACTTGTACAGCCTGGGCGGTAGAAGTAGTGCTCCATGGCCTCCCGTACGGCAGCAGCTCGAAGATGCAACTCTCCATGCGATGTCCAGGGTGGCATCAGAAACAAGCGAGATCAATGAGCTCAGCTCATCGAGGCAGACCGGGGCAGCGGAACTCCATGACGCTTTGAATTGAACCCGACCTATTGATGGTCGGAACTTGGAGTGCCTCCAAAGGTCTCAATGCCCCTGAAGGTGGTGTCTTGCTTGAACTCCTCCTTGTCCACCGAACGATGACGAGGACGTGGCTGTCGCCAAGCTCAGAAGCTCGCGCTGGCCCTCCCGTTTCAGCTCTTCAATGCTGTGATCTTTGGTGTAAGCTTCCCCAGTGTAAGCCCGTTCAGCCATGGCACCCCCCACAAAGCACCGGGTTACGACATGGGTGTTCCTTTGGTCGAAGAAGTGGAAGAACACATCGGCGTTCTCGGCCGAGAAATTGACTGGCAAGGCCTTGACCGATGTCAGGAAGAAGGGGTCGCTGCATACCCCGGGAGGATGGTCAGCTCGTACTTTACGCACCGTGTCCGTGACTGAGACACTGTTTGCTTGCGATTGGACAGGTGGCTACGCACTTCCTTGCTGGACGCCGCATACTTTCCGGCGAATGACTTGAACTTGCCGCCAATGGCAATATCTTCTGTGCTTTCATGCTGGTACTGCTCTGAGGTTTCGACTGAAAGTGTGCTCACCATCCGTTGGCATTCAGGAAGCGGGGCTGGCTGCTGCACACCCCATGGATATGAGTACTCATCGGGGGCGAACGCATTGGTGGAGCAGTTGAAGACCAGCTTGAAGATGTTCCCCGCACTGCGGCTGAACCCGTATCGTGTTGCTGTCAGGATGTCAATGGCCTGCCCCACATGCTGGCTGCCGGGCAGTGGAGGCCCCAAGGCCACTGCCTGCATTGGCAGAGCAAGCATCAGGAAATTCAGCATAGCTCCAAGGCAAGAATCACCAAAGTTTGATACTGCAAAAGCTGCATATTGTATGACAAAAGTTGCTAGACCTGTTGGTCTTACCCTCTCACGCGTTCACAAGTGGAGCGATAAGTTTGCCCGCATTGCAGACCTGTGAAACGAAATGACGCAAAATGATTGCACTCATCAAGAGTCTACAGTAAGGTTTCTCGGCAGACTTGATGGGATCCATAAAACACAAAACGTCACAAGGTGGGGGGTAAGACATGGAAGATCCGACGGTCACACTCCCCGCAACGTCAGCAACGTCAGAAGCGGGCATAGGGCATAGGGTACACTCGCCCGAGGCATCGGAGGACCCCCTTTGGGTCTTGGTCCGAAGACCCACATCAAAAAAATGGAACTGGACCACTTCCGGCAGCTAAAGGGGGAGGGGTAGCAGCTAGCACAGCTCCTAGTAGGTTGTTCCTCTGTTCCACTGGAGCCGAGCCGTCGTGGTCCCCCACCCCGCCTCGCGTAGCAGGCTCATGCAGCACAATCGCGCACGCGGCCGACGAGGGAGCGGTGTTTTGTGCGGGTTTCGTCTTCGAGCCCGAAAGGCCCGTGCGGTGGTTCTAGGTGAACTGGTGCTCTGGTGCGGGTTTCGAGGTTGGGCTTGGCGGTTGGGGAAGAAAGAAAAAGATCTCTAGAATGGTCTAAATGTTCACATCTTCAGCATGTACAGTTGTGTTTTGAAATGGGTAACGCGCTGGATGCTGCAGTTAGTAGGTTTCAAAGTGCTGTTGGGTGGTTCAGGGGGTCAGATTCTCAATAACCGTTCCTGCCCCTCTTCAACTGTATGAAATGATCCTTTCCTTGGAGCCCGCAGCGCGGTTCAGGCGCAGCATCTTCTCTGGCTGAGCCGTCACTTCTGTGGCGTGTCTGATCCTGGACTAATGTAGACTCTTGATTAGTGGTAGGTCGAAGGCCATCACTATTAGGTTGGAGGCCACTAGCTAGTAGATTGGAGGCCATCGCTATTATCGCTGTTACTTGTAGGTCAGCTTGGAGGCCATCGCTACACCTCCCCAGACATGGATTGAACAACCTCTCCATATGGAGTGGTGAGATATCATCAAGTAGTCTACCTCTCCTTCAGTCAGTTCCACCGGGGACCTGGAGATGGCCGGGGCCATTGGAGCAGTCCAATTCCGCACAAGCACCAGAAACGCCCACCGTCCAGACCGACAGAAACCCTCAAAAACCTCCCGAGGTGTCCCGCAAAACAACCTACCGCAGCTCACGAAAAGCTCTATTGGAGACCGTTGTTTCCCCAAAAAATGGACCTCGTCGCGGCAGAGTAAGGGTTGTGAAAGAGTACTGTAGGGGGGTGATTTGTAGAGTACTGTGTGCGCTCCAAGTGAACTCATCTACTCAGGGATACTCAGGATACCCCCACTTGAAGCCTGGTAGCCTGGCAAGAATGGACTTGGGAATCTGTTCGTTCTGAACCGCCAACCCTCTGAGGTGTTCTTCACGGCTTTCTTCTGAACCAACTTCAGGCCATGTCCATCCACCAACACGAAGAGTACCGTCTGCTTCCACGGTGCCTTTTCATCCCATGACTCATCGCCGGCTAGGCCCGGGCCGTGCGTCTGCACGCGCCACATGACCCGCTCAGCATCCTTGGGCATTTGCAGCGTGGTCGCCTCCAGTCTCGGGTCTTATCGGTGAAGACGAGACCCTGTGGGTCAAGCAACCATGTGACAGGTGGGTTGAACAGCACCGGAAAAAAAAAAAAAAAAGGAAAAACACCGGGCTTTTCCCACCTGAACAGAATCGACGACCTGACATGGTCAAACCTACCAGGCAGGTAGTCGAGGGATTTGGGCCTTTGGGTGCGACGATGCTGGACTCACAGCGATGGAACCGATCGTTGCCTTGTGCTGGAGCCGATGGTTGTCCCAAACCTCGGGCAGAACGAGTCGTTTTCTCGTGGCTCGAGAGCGAGAGAAGTGGAGGCTGTGAATAGGAGGCCTCCCAACCAATAGGTAGGTAGACTGAGACTGGTCTATCTTCCTTCTTCCAGGTGGTCCAACTGGGAAGTCTCTCTATGTTGACACACACCCAAGTGGAGGCCTCGAGTGGGGGATCTCCTACCCCCCCCGCGCGGCTGGGTCCGCGCTGCACCGCGGCGCTGCCGGGGAGCCAAGACATCCCCCTCCCGCCAGCGGTGACGATAGCCGGGCGCGCGCTGCAGCGCGGCCAGCAGCTGCTTCAAGCAGCTTTGGGACTGCTCCTGCAGCTTGGGGAAGAACACCCGGAGAAGTCCGAAACAGGGTGTTTTTCTTGCTTCGACCGCACTTCGACCGCACTTCTGGGAGGAGGAAATGCGCAGGTGTCACAGTATGATCCGCGAGGTCCGGGCCTGGGACATGGAGTCGATCCGGTGCACGTAGGCTTCGTTCACGAAGACCTGAGAGGTGCGTTCGAGCCCACAACTGCGCACCTGGAGGCACCTGGAGTCAACTGGAGTCAATTGGGGTCCTGTGCAACATGAAAGGATTATAATGGATTCATGGAAAGTAGTGGAAAAGGAAGAGCAAACTCCTGCACCATTTCTGCTGTGATCCTCCACACCGACATCAATGACATCAATCTTCCCCTCGTAAAATGACTCAAATGCAAGAGGGGCCAACCAACCAAAAAACTGCCACCGACTGCAACGACTAGCTAGGAAACGGGGTCCTCTTTGCCAGACAGGTGAGGGATTCAGGAGGCCAGGCGCCAAGAGACCACTTCCTCTCCAGTGATGGGATGTTGGCGTAAGACCGGGTGACAAGCATCTGCAGGAGCTTTGTCCTCGAACTCCGCTAGCGGATGACCCGCATTGTGAGCCTCGGAGCCGAGGAGGGAGGCAGAAACGGTCGAGGTCGATGGGTGTAAAAACGTGTGAAAAGACCCAAAACGACTTCCGTGGCACAAGTGCAAGGATATGCCAAAAAAGAAGCCCACTCTCTGATGGTAGATTCAAAACGCTGGCAAAGATGAGCTGTTCGCGCGAGGATGTTCGCACGCAACTTCGCCCTGTCGTCCTTCCCTTTGTCCTCCCCAAAGGGGCGTGCTCATCCTGGAGCCCAGACATGACCTCTGATTGTCTAGAGGTCACTCCAGTTCTAGATCAAAACGAACTTTCCTGAGTCACGTTGAGATAGTTCACGCGATCATGTGCCACCAGGAGAATCTTGCTGGAAAAGAAAAGTCGATCTCGCAGGTGTCCGTCGATGACGTGTCAACCAACTGCGGTCTTCGTGTCTTGAACAGGTCTGCGGTTCGATAAAGAAAATCACTTTGAGCTTAGGTCTTCGTGTGTTTAAAGAATCCTTGGTCAAGAACCAAAGCTTGCTTCTGCGGGTGGATGAAAACAACTCTCTGGCCTCTGTTCGAGGCTCCTCCAAAGAGGGCACTTGGGCCTTCTGTCTTCAAACCAGTTGGCTCATGAACACATCTCTGGAGCTTGCTAGCGGCCAAAGAACCAGGTGTGGACACATCTTTGGGAGCTATGGGAGCCCCTTTTCAAGGTGATGGGAGCCGCAACATGTGATACCCCCGCCCCGTGGCGCTGGCGCAAGAGTCCTTGACCTTTAACTGTACTCATTTCGCGATGGGGTTGCTAATTCCCACCTCCAAGCTGCCAAGTTGTGCCTGGCCCGCAGAGAGGCCATCTGCTCCAGCTGAGCTTTCTCCAAATGCGGCCGCACCGCCTTGAGCCCAGCATCCAGGAAGAGCGTGTCGCCCAGAGGACCCTGGCGATTGAGATCTGCCCGGCTTCTGGAAGATCATCAAAGGGTCTATGAATCTGTCAGAAAGGGGTCAGAGTAGTCTGTCACAAAGTACTAGGGCATAGGGCTCCCAGGGCTTAGGACAAGGGGACAAGCTTGGCTTGTAACGGTGGGACCTTAAAATCCGAAGGAAAAAAAAGAATCAGTGGCCCACATAGGATTGTCAGATGATGTTGCAGCTCAAACAGCTTAGTCCTAATGGAACTTGTTATTCAAAGTCCTGGGAATATCCTATCTCACAAATTGTCAGTTCCCTTTTCTACCTTTGCCAAATCTGTCAATGCTTCAGGCTTGCTTCAGTGCTCCCATTCCAGCTTAGTGTAAGGGCTGGTAGGTTCACATCAATCGGGGCGGAAAATGCTGAAGAACAGGGCAGTTGGGGTCAGCGAAAACGGCCGTTTTCGCCCAACTGGTCGGTTCACAGCTCATAAACCCTGTTGTTTAAGGTCAGAGCTCATTCGACGCCGACCCCAAAGAGCCAGGCCCGAGACGACCCTCGGTGACCCTCGGCTCTCCCGGTTCTCGCCTTTTTGGGGGGTCAATACCATCAAGACCCTAGACAAAAGAACCATATCTAAGAAACTACTAAAGAAGGTCAACCTTCCAAGGGCCGGGGGAACTCTTGCTGGGTGCACTTGCGCCGCGCCTCAGTGCCCTGTGGCACTTTCAAGGCATAGAGCAACGTCGGCCCCGCCGGCTCTGGAGCCTCGGTCCGTTCGACACCGGTCCGATCGCCCCGATCGCTCCGTTCGATCGGCGTAAGGCCAGGAGCCCATGATGGTAGCTTCTTGTTACGAACGTTGCAAACTCTCCTCTTCCATCCCAAGCAAGAGTTCTCCACGCAAACCCACGAAGACAGTGAGCAAGCCCTTGTTGTGGTGCCCGCAGCCAAAAGCCATATGGACGCGCCAGGACGCGTAAGAGTTGTCCGAATGCCAGAAGTCTTGTCCTGCCGAGCAGATCGGAAACCGCCTCGCTCACGCTCTCGCGGGTCGGACGCTTTTGCTGTCCAAAACCCAAAGAAGAAGCCAGAACAAGGTCTTGGGCCTCGCCAGGTGTCAGGTTGAAGTTCCTTTGGCTGAAAAGAAGTTTGGAGGGGTCCAATGTGGAGGCATCCTGTACCTTTGGGCTTGTGCATTTGGAGTCCTCTCCTCCTGTACATAGTCTAGGTCATTCGGGTGAGTCGAATTCTTCCATTGGGGCACTGATTGATGAGAAAGGTCACCTGCTCAATTGGATCGAATCTCTACACCCCGTCCAGAGATCTCTGTTTTACATCAGACTGTTGGCGAATTCATCGTCTTCCGCCCTCAAAATGGCAGCGCTTTTTTGCTCGGCAGGAAGATCTGACTGTGGCATTCCAAGGACCCAAACCTCCAAAGACTTCATCTCCTGAACCGGTTTTGACCCCGCAACATGGATGGATCCGCATCCGTCTTCATTTTGCTGAGTCGTCTTTCTCTCTACATCTCCCACCAGTCACACCACCCATCCAAACCCCATCCAGACCGCATCCAGACCGCAGACCGCAGACCTCTCCGCGCCTCGTGGCGTGGGATCCCGGTCGCAGGTCCGATAGATCGCCAGCGCCCGCGGCTGCCCGGCCGCCTTCGCCGGCTCTGCCAGCACCGCGGCCCAGCGGAGCAGCTCCTGGCGGTGGACCGGGCAACGGCCGGGCAACGGCTGGAGGGTGGAGGATGGTGGAGGTGGGAACACCCCAAAAAAAACATGGTGGATGATGTCACTCCCAAAAAGGAATAGACCTCCCACATCCAACCTTTCTTTGACCAATACGGCGGGTGCTTCGGTCTTCTTCGGTCTTGGGGCTTTTCACATGGGCCGTTTCGCGGCCGAACACCGTCCGGCACACACAAACCCTCTGTGAGTGGTCCGGCCATCAAGGGGTGATGGGTCAGGATCCTCCCAACCTCCTGGGGACACCAAGAGGCTGGAGGCGTCTTTTCGGCATCTTCGTCGTCTCCACCGACGGAAGGGACCGGTCGCGATCCATGCTGCGTGGTCACTGTGAGACTGAGGACAATTCAAGGGAGGAGTCTCATCCAAGCTGGTTGAAATGAGGTAACAACCCGGGAAATCTGGTCCCTTGGATGGACGAAGGCCCAACCACTTGGGGTGTAAAGGACCTGAATTGCAAGCCATAGTGCAATAGGCTGTTCAGGTCTCCGAGGTCAGCTCTTTCTTTCTGGCCGGGAGCAGCATGCAAGTCATCCAACTCAGGGGAGGGCCTTTCGACCAACTTGGGTTTCCCTTTCGACCAAAAAGAAGGGCTGAGACTGAGAGGCAAGAACGTCCATGTAGACGAGCAAATGGGCAAGTCTTGGAACATTCCAAAATGTCAGTGAAAGCCTCACGTAGAACTTCTGTACTTAGTGTACTTCAACAATCAAGGTACCAAGTTCAAGCAAAGAGGTTTTGGGGGTCCCCATCTCCCGACACCTTTTGATTTAAATATGCCTGAATGTTCCAACTGAACCCATGATTTGTGAAGGATTTTGCGTGAATCCCAACCTGCATGGAATCCTTTCCTCCTCCACAATGTCTTGGTCGCGAAAAATCAGCAAGCCATACTGCCAGAACAGCTTCGCGAGCTCTTTGGGAAGTGCTTTCGCCAGGTCAACGCCTGCCCCAATGAATCTCTCGTTACACCAAAGAAAACGCCTCCGAGCTCCGAAATTAAGAAAACATAAGTAAAGAACACCACGGAACCAGTATAGAGGATAATCCTTTCCACCTATTAATAAACACTCCCCAACTAAAAAACACAACGTCCGAATCCCTAATTTTTGCTTATATTTGTTTTTAAATTACCGCCCTTTCAAGCCGCTACTAAACTACCAAAATGGTCGATTTTGGGGATAGTTTTTTTAAATAGGTTCCCACAAAACTCCCTCGTGACACGCCGCGCTTACACGAGCAGGTTTTCCTTCCTCCAGTGGCACGGACTCACGCAAACGCACTTGCCACCGAGGTCGTGCAAAACCGCATGGCACAGCGACATCACCTTTCGAAAGCTTAGTTTATTAAAGGATTTTATATATTTTTTGTCTGGATTACTTTTTTGCAGCTCTTCCCAGGTGACCCTATTTTGGACCCCCCGATTTCAGGGACCCCCTATTAGAAAAAATGCGACCGAGTTTCTCTTATTAGGTGGGGGGGGCCGTGTTTATTAATAGGTGGAAAGGATTACTTCAGTGCAAGTAGAGGCAACCGCAAGTAAAGGCAACACACACAGACGCAGCTGTCCCACACCTGTCCCCGGTTACAGAACTGCCGTTCGCCCCCGCCCCCGCCGATGTCCGCTCCCGTTCGCCTCGGACCTCCGCCCCGAAGGCGGAGCTCACGGGTTTCAGCTCCAATGGTTGACCTCGCGGCGGGATTTTCCCCACCGTGTAGATCACCGTTGACCACTGCAAATAAGGAATTAAAGTAAATAAGGGATCTACACGGTAAGCGTCTGTAAAACAAAAAAGAGATCTACTAAGGGATCTACTAATAAGGGATTAACAGGGTTGTAAAACACATAAGGTATTTAAAAATATCCGAGAAAGCGTTCCTCACCATCATCTACGGAGGCTTCTTTGCGACCGGAATGGTGCAACCGTGTTGGTCGGCCCGTGTCACCCAGGTCTATCTCCTCGTCTTCCGTCCGGCTCTCGGTCGCGCGGCGCGGAAAATCTGCAGCGGTCGCGTGGCGCGTTGTTTGGTCGGCCCAGCTCGTCCTTCGTCGGGGAGCAGCGCGACAGCAGCGCTCAAAGCAGCCTGGGATCAGAGTGGTCCGCCAACACCAAGTAAGAACTAGTTGTGGCAGTGAACTCGGGAACCTGCCGAAAAAGGATCTTTCATCATGTTCTGGGCAAGTAGTAGCTCTGAAAACCGCCGTTCTCAAGCAACCAGGGTGGTCAACCGTGTGGCAAACTGTTCGAAAGTGGGTACCTCACCTTTCCATACTATCCTCTTCATCCGATGTGAGTTCGTCCCTTTGTCTTGCTACAGGTGCAGGCCATGTCGAGAAAAAATCAGGAAAAAGACTCTGTTCGTCAATTGATCCAATTTCTAGATTGACCTTCCACAAATTCAAGCACCTGACCTCCTCAATGCCCCGCCGCTCGCGGCGTTTCTTGGCTGCTGCCCGGAGAAGCGTCAGCAGGAGGAGCAGTGGAAGCAGCCCAAAGATCACGGCCGCAAGATCAGCATCGCCTACTGGTGAGACGAAAAAACATCCCCAAGGATGCCGGACGAAAAAAATAGAAGCTGGACTTGAGATGAAACAAGAGAAACATGTATTTTAGAGACCCCACTGTCTCTGTGTCTTCCTTTCTTTTCAAACAGTGGGGTCTTGGCGAGGTCAACGCCAAGACCTCGCCAGTTGCTGTCACCGGGGCTCTTTCAGCGTGACATCTGCCACAACGGCCCCCGCGTCACTTGTGCACGCTTGCCCGCGTCACACGTTCACCACCCTTCTCGCTCCCGCGACCGGCCTCCAAAGGCTCTTCTCTGCGCCCGACCTCTACACAGCCCTCCTGACCTCACCTGCGAGAGCGGTCGCCGCGAGCGCGCGCGCATGCGCGCGCGTGTCTGAACACGGAAACCTTCGGTTTCCGCGCCAGGTAGTCTTGAGGTTGGTGTCTATTTCTAGTCTTGTTGATTGCCGGGATGAGATGCTGAACTGGTGTGAACTGCGGCTGTGGTCGAGGACTGAGCGGTCGACGTGCTACTCCGCCTCTTGGAGGAAGCGACTCGGACTCGTCCGGAAGCCCAGGCAGAAGGCGTGCGAGGGTGCGGACCGCGCAGATGGACTCATCGTTCTCTGAAACCAGTTCAGGGGCGTTGGAAAAGCATGGCTCAGACAACCACCCGAAACGAAGCCGGGTCCGATAGTTCTGGGGATCGCAAACCACCCGAAACGAGGGTCCGGGCCGTTCGGTCTCGTTCCGATGGCCATGCGCGCCGCCTTTGGGATGCGCCCCCCCCAAGATCTGAGCCCGGCATCGCGGCCAAGCAAGAGACCAATCGTATGAATTATCCCCAACAGCAAAAGGAGCAGTATAGTGCGACTCAGTGCAGAAAATACGTATGCATGAATTGAATGTTCCACCTTCAGTTGCCTGACAAGTGGGGCAAAGAGCTATGTCTGAGAAGAGGGAAGAAAGTTGCTCGAAGGAAATTGGTCGTACAACCCTTTTCTCCAACTATCCAACTATCATATTCCAACTATCCAGTCGCAGTTCACTTGTAGCGCACTTTTTCGGGGTGTGAACATCTTGGTGTGGTGGATCGTCTGCAAGGAGGAGCTGCAGCCTCGAGTCGCAACCAAAATCGACGTGTCGTTTCCAGAAAAGCACTGCAGTTACTTCAATTCCCAAAATCACACACACAATCTTATCCAAAAACACTCAGCTGACACACTCAACAGCAACTCGTGTAAGATCATTGAAATCATGGCCAATCTCGCGCAAACTTCAGCAACTCAAAGCCGCGAATTGCCAGGAAAAGCAAAGGACATCGCCATGGCATCCAACACGGTCGAGCGAAGATCCAACAGGTCTGATAGTCCGATGCGTGTGCTTTTTTGTGCATCCGAGGGCTTGTGCTTTTGATCGGGCTTGATTCAAGTGATTCAAGTCTCGTCTTGGACGAGGAAATCCTCCAGCTCCGAATGCAAATAGATAAGAGTTGCTGCTGTAAAAAGCAACCAGTCGAATGTGCTGGAGCTGCAGTTTACACGACGTACGAAAAACCGCATACTCCAAAGCACACTCGACGCCCCATCGCTTGAGGACTTGGACGCTAAAAATCCGAGTCAGTTGCCGAAAATTCCGGAACTGAGCTCGCCCTTTCGGGGTCGGAGGCAGAAAATTCCGGAAGTCGGAACAAGGCCCCTCCACGGTCGGAGTCGATCTCGAAACAATCGTCGTAACCATGGTTTGGAGCGCTCGCTCGGGGCCTGTCTCCTCCCCTCATTCTGGCATCCCCTCTCAAGTGCCTCACTTCCTCTCGTAGCTGTGCCACTTCTTCCCTGAGCTCGACCAGTTGCACCAGCTCAGCGAAGTGATGGCTAGCATAGTGGGCCTCCAGCTCCTCCAACGCCACCTCACCAGGGCAGAACATGCGAAAAAACTCGCTTACCTTCACCGGCCACGTGTCACGAAACCGGCGGGTTCCTGTTGGGGGAAACCAGTCTAATGAAACAAAGAAGGCCTGGGGACCGAGGTCTAAACAAGGACCCAGCTTTCTACTGGTGTGACAGGGCTCACGTGGACGATCGATGTTCACCAGCTCACCTGATCTCCACATAGTTGACACTTCTTCCACTTAGCTTCGCATTCCTCTTGGTGTTCTTCTTCGCGATCCGCATCATAGAAGGTCTGGCAGGCAGCACAGGTCACTTGGCGCTTGGGACACTCCTTCCGATGCTCCGCCTGACGGACACAGCTTCGAGTTTACTCCCTATGGATCCACGTACCGAACCTCAGAAGGCACACCTTGGACCCGACAATGGCGCCTACATAAATAGTGAACTCTGCTCACCGTACCTCAGATTCGGTATGTGGATCCATAGGGACTTCAAAAACGTTCTTTGACGCGACCAATGAAAAGAAAGAAAGGACGCACATCGTCAGACGCACCAAACGAACCAAGCGAACCAGACGACGCAACCTTGTTTCGTCGTCCTTAAACCCTTGACTCAACTCTTTTGTTGTGAGAAACTGGGTCTTTCAACTCGCGTCTTCTGGCAGCACAATCATTTTCGGGCTCGTCTGAGGGAAATGATGCAAACTCCAACAGTTTCAAAGTCGGGAGGAAGTCGGGGTTGTCACATCCACTCACAGGATGGGGTCCACAAACCAGTCCGGACTGGAACTGCTGATGGTTTCCCCACCTTCTCCACCAAATGGAAGCTCGCACCACACTTGTTGGAGCATTTCACCAGGAGGTTCTTGATGGATCTCCGTTCAACATGTGCTGGCGCGATGCTGGAGCCGTGCTCGCGGCAAACAGGGCATTTGCTATCCTCAGCGATGCATTTCAGCCAGCAAAGCTCACAAAACAGCACGGAGCCACAACCATGTGCCATAGCATCGCGGGCCACCAGCATGCAAATGGGACATCGGAATCTTTCCACATCTTGCTCTGCCCTCCATTCCTCATCATAGCCACCTTCAACCTGCTCTGCCTCCACCGTGGCATCTCGAGAGCTTGCATCCGCTATCTGCGGCGGCTCATGAAAGCAATGAGGTGTATCCTTCAAATACAAATGCCTTACAGCTGCCAAGGGCGCCACTTTGGATGGATTCTCGGCATAGAACCAGTCGCCTGCGACGCGTCGGATGGTGGCTTTCGTGCCCACATGAAAGTGCAGCCTCATGAGGCCGTTCTCTTCCGGACATCCAAACCAGTTCACTTTGCTGGAGACCTCTCGAAAGTCCACCACATCACCTTCTCGAAGGTCGCGCCGGGTCCCCAACCAAAGAGAGGGCGCCGGTCCAGGTCCATCCCTGGGGAACCATTGAGTCGGTGGCAGGGGCGAGCCGTGCTCAGGGCCACTGGAAGGACCTTCATAGTCAAATTGACAACCATCGAATCGATTGTTGCGGTGCAAATTCCACTTGCCCTTCTTGAAATACATCACTGCGCTCGAGGTCGAGCCAGCACATTGGTAGACCGGCCGGTCGGAGACCGCCGGTCTCGTGCTTTTGGAGAAGCGGCCATTCACAGAGGGCAACCCGGCACCTCGAACCTCAAAGAAGGGAAGTGGCTGCCCTGGCTCGGGTTCTTGCTCCAAATACCTCGGCTGTGGCTGAAGGAATGGCACTTCGGGCTGGCCCAGGGTGTAGCCTTCCGTCGTCCACCCGAAGGTGGGCGGAATTGGGAGAATTGGATCCGGATGCTTGTAGAACCAAGAATCCTCCGAATTCTCGCTGTGAATCTTCCAATTCCCGGCAAAATAGATGATCCCCGAAGCGCCTATTTGCATGTATTTGGGCTTGCCATTGCTTGACCCCATGCACACGTAGCAGCCATTCACCACCTTTGCTTCATCGCTGGCACCCCGAACCCAAATAAATCTCGGAGCAGTGTCAGTTGCTGGAATCAAAGCGACATGTTCTACCTCTGCTGCTTTTCCCCCTATGAGGGAGCTCCATTGACCTGCGGGAGGCGATCTGCCCGAGAGGTCTCCGTGTTCATAGTAGCAGCCCGACGCCCGTTCTTCGTGCTTGATCTTCCAGCCCCGCCCTACGCTCACGACCACTCCGCGCCCGCCGATCTGACGGAAGATCGGCCTCCCCTTCAGATGCTCCGCACGCGCATAGTGACCCTGGAGCTGCTCCGCCGTGCCGGCCACGCGCAGCAGTTGCGGCACCGCCGCGAGGCTGGGAGGGTCGGTGGCGGACGTGGAGCTCGAAGCCCATCGACCCAAAGGGAGCTGTGAGACCGGAAGGCCGGGATGTCGGAAGGTCCACTGGTCCATGGTGGCACCAATCTTCCACTCTTCACTGAAGTAGATCATGGCAGTCTGATCCAACTTCTGGTACATGGCTTTTCCATTGTGCATGCCATGATGACCATAGAAGCCGCTGAGACCCGATCGATCACAAGCCACATAGACCTCTTGCAGCACGCCGCCTCGCCATGAGAATAGAAAACCGCACGGCCGTGAGGCGATCAAAATCGAAGCCCAAGTTGGTTGGCGATACCCATCTAAACAGCCACCCCTAGGGCTCCAACCACATCCTCAAAAGGTGGTTAGACCCCCCTGGCACCCACCACAACCACCTTCTGAGGTGGTTGGAGCCCTAGGGCAAAACATTGGTCAAAAGGATGGCTGTGGGTCATGAAAAACTGGGCGACGCTTGATTTTATCCCACCACTTCCATGAACCGAATGGTCTTTTCTGCACGTGGTCTTCCTAGCAGGGTGAAAGGGGGGGTCTTGGACCCACGGCCAAATACTTGGATTGTTCATCCGCTCACCAGCATAGCGTTGGGAGGAGCATCAACTCTGGGACGAAACATGTCAACTCTGAGACCTTCCGACACATCAACTGCTGACAAAATGTGGGAGCACCATGCACGATTGTTGAGTCTAGTTACTCTAGCTGTAAAGCTTTGTCTCATATAAATAGGCAGAGCTTCGCGCTAACTTCTAAAGTACGATGCTTCAAACGTCATTCGAGCATCTTTAAAGAGAATCTGCTGGACCGACCTGCAACATGCTTAGTTTTTTGCCGTTTCACCACTTGAAGATCTGGGAAGTCACAGAAGCAGTTGCTCTTGAAGAAACCGAGTTCCCATACGCAGGGGACAAAACAAGGGGAGGGGAAGGGCACGAGTTAGCTCTGAAGTGGTTGTGGGGAAACCTCTGCTGCAAGTGGGATGGTGTTGAGCTGAAAAAGCAAATCTTTATTGAAATCAGCTGAGAAACCCGAGACACAGTGCTCCTTGCCCATCAAGCTCACAGCACCCAAGCCTGCCAGTGGCGCGATCTTCTCCGGAAATTCCCGGGGATAAAACCACTCTCCCCGAAGCTCATGCACCGTCACCGTCCACGAGGTACCTGAAAAGGACAGCCTCTTGGCAGGGCCCTCAGGACATCCAGTCCAATCGAAATCAGGGCACTCTGCAAGGGTCACCACATCGCCTTCCTTGATATCTCGGTAGTTCCCCAACGAAAGGCTTGGCGCTACGCCCACGAGCGATGGACGAGTTACCCAGTGTTCAAAGGGCGGCAGGTTGCCGTCGCTCCCTTCGCACGGAGGGGCTTCATAGAACCATCCATCCCTGCGGTCTAGAGCATTCCATCTCCACTTGCCCCATTTGAAGAAAATGATGGCCTCACCCTCCACCTGCTTGTACCCGCTCTCGGCCGCATATCGGCCGTTGATCTTCCCGCGCTCGGCGCCGCGCGCCACCAGGAACGGCGGCAGGGCGGCACCGTGCCGCGCGCGACGCGGAACGAAGCGTTCCGCGTCGAGACCTCTGCGCCAGGGGCGGTAGCGCCACCGTCGGCCACCGTCGCCGGAGTCCGAGCTTCGCACGGAAGAAGAACGGAGAGTCGATGCGTCACCCCAAAGGGTCGGAACCGAAGTCCGGTAGATGATTTAAAGGGAAAAGAGAGAGAGAGAGCGAGAGCGAAGGGAACCCACGAACCCGACGCTACCCAAAGACCCCCAAAGTTCAACGATAACCCTTCGCTACGCATTCGCAGGCGGTTGGCATGCCATCTCTCAACATTGATGCGGGTGAGCAGGAGAACTTCTGGTCCCAAAAAGAAGGGGTGGTGCCTCTAGTGGACTACCCAGAAGCTCTAAAGACAGGCCTTAGGTCCCTCAAAAACATAGGGATTTGAGGGTCCAGATGAGGGTACTGCTCCCTACTTAGGAGGATCCATGAGCGTCTGGGTAAAAAAAACAAAAGAGCATGATCATACATGATCCAAAGTCAACAGTGGGCCTGTTTAACGTCGCAATTGGCCTACCCAAATGGATCAAGTCTGAAAACCGGACGAGCTCCGGGTTCGCTCATCCTTTGATAGACATCTCAGAAACAGAATTCTCCCACCTTCGACCACAATGCACTCCGGCAGCTCCACAGTTTCATCTGGTACCTCTCCTTGGAAACAAGCAGGGTGTGTAAAGAAATGCTGTTTTGAGATTCATTCAAGAACCCCCACATTCTGTGGTCATTCCCTAGGAATATACGCGCGCAAAAGGGCGTCGAAAGTCTGCACTGAGAATGTGACCAGGGCTGTCTCTATCCATCAAAAGTTCGCTTCTAAATAAAACTGGCTATATACTCCCTGTTCGCAGTGCTGCATGAAGGATCCCCACAAACAAGCACAAATTGGATTCAATTTTGGGCTTAGTTCACCTCAACTTTAACAGAGCTGAGTGTCCAGGGCTTGATGCAGCTGGAGATCCAGTAAGATCATCATGCGCATCTCCTGTTTCACTTTCTTGAACATCGGTGCAGGGTTCCTTGGAGAGAGTGGGTGGTGAACCGTAGTTTGGAGAAGCTGTCACCCACTTACTCAAAGGCGTTGGTGAATCAATCTCCGCTTGATAGCACCACCCACCAGTATTATCACCATCATTTAATCTCCAACTCCCCAACTTGAAGAAGATGATCGCCTTGCCATCGATCTGCTTGTACTTGCGCTTTCCCTCGAAAGCCCCAGCATGAGAATATCGGCCATTGACTGGCCCATAACCTGCACCTCTCACCATCAAGTCGCCTGGTAGAACCTCGCCACCACTGTCCGCTGCATCTGACATGGATGAGAGTGATGCCCAGGACGAAGCATAATCAGATGCGAAATCGTCCTGCCGGATGCAAGCGCCTGAGCAAAGCGTTCCATGTCCCACAAGATCGATTATATGCTTGGAAATCTACCAACAAACGTCCAAGTATAGAAAAAACCATGGAAGTTCACTGAAATGGTCTAATGGATGTGGATCCGAAATAAAGACCAAACAAAGACGCGGCACCATTGCGTGCGTCCTCTCTTCAGGTGATGAGCTTGAGTGATACTCCATTTTTAAGCTATATATACTCCGTCATAAGTTATCTCTTAGAAACTGTCCGCAAAGTACAAACCTGTCGCACAACCAACAACCGTGACAGTCATGCTGGCACCTTCGACCACGACACCCTGCTCAGGCTCTGTCACACTCTCATCTGGTACCTTTCCTCGGAAACAAGCAGTGTGTGTAAAGAAATGCTTTCCAGCAGTCACAAAGGGGTGCCTATTGGAGGATAGGGGTGCCCAGAACATCCACTCACTTGGGGACTAAAAACCACCCCTGTGTGACTCCTGGTTACATAAGATTCATTCAAGAACTCCCACATTCTGTGGTCAATCCCTAGGAACATACGCGCACAAAAGGGCGTCGAAAGTCTGCATTGAGAATGTGACCAGGGCTGTCTCTACCCATCAAAAGCTCTCCTTCAGCATCTGGTCTTAAAATGAAACTGGCTGTGTACTCCCTCGCAGTGATGCATGAAGGATCCCCACAGACAAGCACAAATTGGGTTCAATTTTGGGCTTAGTTCACCTCAACTTTAACAGAGCTGAGTGTCCAGGGCTTGATGCAGCTGGAGATCCAGTAAGATCATCACGCGCATCTCCTGTTTCACTTTCTTGAACATCGGTGCAGGGTTCCTTGGAGAGAGTGGGTGGTGAACCGTAGTTTGGAGAAGCTGTCGTCGCCTCGCCATCCACAGGCGAAAGCATAAGGGGCTTGCCTTCGAATTGGTCCACATGGGAATATTGACCGTTGACTGGCTCACATCCGGCACCGCTCACCATCAAGAATTGCATCGGGAGAGCATCTTCGCCTGCATCTGATAGCTTGCCTTCCAGAAGGATTGGTCCTTTCAAAAAGCTCTTCAAACAATGTCCAAAACCAAAACATGACAGCATACACTCCAAACAGGACAATGCAGCCACAGCAACCGCTAATCAAGGAGAAGCAATCTTGCATTCCAGCTTCTGACCGTCAGAACACAAAAGCTAGAACACAAAAGAACAACCCGGAACAGGGCACAAGCTCCAAAAACCACAACATCCTTGTCCCACAATGCACCCACTCCAGAAAGGCAAGACACGGAATGCGCCTTTGAACTTGGAGAAAGCAGGATTGACACATGATTGACACGGACCCTGTCCTTTCTGGTTCAATTACGTCAAGTGACCCTGAACTGCACAAGCAGTAGAAGGCCCATACTACTTACACTTAATGCCAAGTAAACCCTGCTGAGAGTCCGGAGCTTGATGCAGCTTCCGCAGACCCAGTCTCCACACCCTCATCCCAGTCTTGAAGATCGCCTGCGACCCAGTGGCCCTCTGCAGATCTGTCACCATGGTTCTGCAGATCTGTGCCCCTCATCTCTCTGGGTCGAAGTCCCTCTGACAAATCCCAGTGCATCTCAAGACCCCAGTCACGCGCCCTGCACCGAGTTCCCATCTGTTTCTGGTCTGACCTGCTCTTGCCTGAGAGTAGCTCACTGAGAGCGTCTCGGAATGGGGAGCTTTCTCCTCGCGATGGTGGATTTGAGCTGCAGATTTACTTCAAGAATTGAATTCAAATCATCCAAAAGGGGTACCAGTAACGGAAGTCAAAGAAGCTCTTCCACTCACAAAGAGGATAGGTCTGAGTGGAGGCCCGCTCCTCTTCGTGAAACTGCAAGAGCCGACGAAACCAAAACGCCGGCGTTCCAGAAAAACAAAAAAGAACAGTACCTTGCCCTGTTCTTCAGCCTTGAACGCGTCCACGCAAGGCAAAACGACTCCAAGGTCGGTCGGTTTCTCCGCGGCTCCTCGACACGGAGCCCGCCCAGAGGGTGTGAGATCATCATCACCGTGCATCGCACGCCCATGCGCCCAGCGGAGCCCACGCGTCGTCCTTTGGGGCGGTCGCGGTCGCGCCGTTCGGCGTGCAGGGGCCTCCCCCGAGCGGCGAGCGATGCTGAGCCGTGAAGCAACGGTGAGGACCGTTCATTCCAAGAGTGAAACTCCGGACGTTCCAAGGTTCTTAGACTCTTAGAAGCGTTAGAAGGAGCAATTCCCCTCCCAACTCCTGAAGAGTCAATTCTTGAGTCTTCTTGACCTCCTTTTTCGTGACCAGGGTGGCTGTTTCTAGTGGCTCCCTAGTCCCAACCCCATCAATGGCCCTGCCGGGCCAAAGAACCAAACCATGCCTTGGCCATCCGTCGATCCGTGTTTCGCAAGTGGTCAGCTCTCTACTTGATTGCAGTCCATCTGACCCATCCCAGTCTAGATCAAGACCCCAGGTGCGTGTGCAAAGAACCCCTTGGGTTTGGGCTTCTGCTTTTCGCTTCAGACCAGGTCTTGCCTGAGAAGCGTAGCATCATCTGATGTCAAAGTATTGGAACTATCTCCTCGCGATGGATGTGAGCTTGCAGATTTGCTTCAAGAACTGAATTCAAACCATCCAAAGGGGGGTACCAGGAGAACACATATCAAAGAAGTTCTTCTGTTCATGAAGAGAATGGATCAACATGTTTGAAGGAAGTGCTTGAGGCAAGGAAGTGCTTGAGGCAATAAACAACCTTCCTAGACTTCTACTGACCTGGTAGTGATCTTAGTCTGTCAGTGCTGAGACTTACAACCGGCGCGGGGCCAGGGCCTTGCCGTCAAGGACCCCACACAAAGCTCCTCAGAGTTCCATTGACATCGTCAGAAGCAACCCCTGCGCCACAGCGTCGCTGGGCGCAAAGCCGTGCAGAAGAAGCCACGCCTCCACTGGTCGACTGGGTAGACTGGTCGATGTCGGCTGAGCCGAGGTCTCCCGAACTGCATACATATGGGACCGTTACACCAAACAAACGATGACCCAAGAGATGGAAGAGAGTGGGACTCTTCGGGGAGGGAACCCTAAAACTGGTAATGCAAGTTGGTCAAGTGAATCAATAGCTGGGCACTTAGAGACACTTCAAGTCAGCCGTTCTTCACTGAAAAAGCAGGACATGTCCTGAATTCTCTCGGTCTCGCTCTCGGCCACCGGTGAGGCTGCTTTTCGTCGGCCGGCGGTGAAAGGAAGAGGTGCGGAGTCTTCCCCGAGCCGAGCCGCAGCACGGAACGCCGCGCACGGACCCGCGGGCTTCGGCTCAGGAAGGTACGCAGTCCGTGCGGCCACGGGCTTCGGCTCCTCAAGTGGCTTCGGTCCCAGCCCCCGTCCCTTCTCGACCCCTTCGACCTCTCCGCGAGTCGCGAGTCGCACGAGGGGCGCAGAGACGTGGAGCTCACCGGCAAACCGGACGAGTCGTTGCCTGCATTGAAGAACAAGCCTCTCGGCCCTCGTGCCTCTGAGAACATGGCAATTCTCAACGACTCCAGCTTTATAGGGCACCAACTACTCAATAGAGTTCATGTCCCATCGTTCAGCCACTCCTCTTCACCCAATTGTTCACCCACGTGTTCGCCCAGGTCCGAGGTCCAGAGGTGATGGGTTGAAGCTCTGTTCGTGTTCGAAGCCAAAGACGGCCTGCAAACCCACCATAAACCGTTCCCCCATCAATTAATTAACAGTCTTCAGTTGCTTCATGTGAGAATCAAAACATCTTCGTGGTCGTAGCCCAGTACAGACTCCAAGCTCCCCAGCCCAGCCTGCAGATGCACCTAGAAGGCGACTGCGGCTGTCCAAGCTTTGCTGTCCGAGCTACCCGAGTTGTCCGGCTGTAGCAATTCTTGGGCCGGTCTTTTTGGATCACAGGAAGACTGAAGAAAAGCTGAGAAACAAACCAGGTCAATTAGCACGGACACATCTATGAGAGATCCAACTTGTCTGCATAGACATGTTCCTTTCGAGCTCTAGTTGGCCCTTTGAACATCAGGATTTGGAGGGTCATTTCTTGGGTTCGTACATTTGAGCTCTCCCTGCGCATGCCAACAAAAGAAAGCAAACGAACAGAACATCACAGAATCATCGACAGTATCCTGGATATGTTTCGTTTGAGATCCACAACCTAAATCACAACCAGCTGACCTGAGAAGGTGTTTGTTATACCGGGGTGTCCATCTGGTTTTCGCCCCCTCACCCGACCTTGGCATGCTCTTCACCGACTCGCTGACACAGGGCGTGGTCTGGAGCTGAGCCCAACTCGAGCAATGGCCAACGCTGCCAAGAGGAATCTCTTCATGTTGCCAATGTACTCTATGCACGGATATGGCCCAAACGGCCAAGCGTGCATGAAAAAACCCAAACGAGGGATGCAAAAGCCATGTACCGTACAACGCACGCCTTCTTGGCATATTTTGTACTTCGTTCGCCAAATGTTTAAGACATGTTAAAATGTTTAAAGGATTAGATTTATGTCTTCTGGGACCCAACCTAAGACTGTAAAATTGAAAATCATCGTTTGCAAATAAAAGCCAAAACATTGCGATTGGTGATGGCCCAGGTCTTGCACACTGCAAAAAATAAAGGCAAAAAATAGATCTAAAAAACAAAATGCACTCTCAAAAGAGCACAAGAAATTGCAAATCCCAAGAAATTGCACCATGGCCATGTGGATCATTTGACATGTTGTTGATTCTGTGGTGTCTTTTAGCAATGTCTTTTGTTTTGTTTGCAATGTCTCTCGCTTTTTGCTTTGTTTTTTTGAGCTTTTTTCTAGCTTCTTGCAAAATGTTGTTTTTGCCTGTTCACAATTTTGATCACAATTGTTTCGCAATTGGTTCACAAAAAGAATCAGGATTTACCGAGTTAGGTTGACGCTGCAAATAAGATTTGATTGGTTGGATGCAGCTTGTGGTACCAGCAAGATAGGAACAATTACCCGAAGTTTCCACCATGATTTGGTTTTGAAGGTGTTTAGAGTTCCCGATTCAACTTCAAACTCCGTCGCAAAAACCTTGAATTTGGAAACGTTGTACAGTATGCAAGTGGGTCCTTGTTCTGCCTATTCACTGTTTGGACTCGTTTTTGCAGAAAAAAGCCTTGCCAGACTGCGCTCTCTGAGCAAAGATGGGCGAACCCAATACGTGGCGCAGTAGCCACGCTGAATGTGCTTTTCCTGATTTTACCAATACGACCATTTGCCCAGCGAATCCCACACAGATTCGTTAAGTCATGTTAATGTTGATCTAAATCTGGATGTTGCACACAATCCGGACATCGTTATAGCTCTTAGGGCCTTAATCTCTTTTGAACGTCGTATGCTTTTTGTGGGCCTTTCCAAATGAATTTGTTAGGCAGCTTCATCGCTCCTTTTCACTCATCGCTGAGCCACTGTGTTGCGGAGTCACACTGATAAGAACAGATACTGCTCTTACATCTTTACATGTATGTGTGCTCATGTACATTTGAAATCTCTAACACCCTGCCTTGCGTGAGTTCTCTTTTCGAACTCTTAGCACACTATTCTTCCAGCTCTGTGGCCGTGAAGATCAAATGATCTCTATCTTCATCTCGGTTGTGCCATGCCTCCACAATTGCGTCCCAAGTCTGGTCGTACTCTCCATTCACCAAATCTCTGAACATCTTGTGGTAGTTGCGGTCATAGATGTCATACATCAGGGCATAGTCGAACTGTAGCCCTGGTTCCTCTGGGTTGTGCTTTGCTGCCAAAAGCTGCAGGAACTGCTTGCACAAATACTCCGGGAAAAAGCCAGCCTCGTAGATCCTTTCAACTCGGATCTTCTCGATTGCCGGGATGAGGGTGTACAAGTACCCCCCAATCCTCAAACCTGTTTGGAACTGGGTCAACAGGTTCTTCTTGCGGTTCTGGGCTGCTGCTTCTCCTTGCTGGTCGATCTTCTGGATCGCTGTCGGTCATTCCACCTTCTCTCTCTGAACTTGTAGGCCTGTAGCGGCGCACATAGCTGCTTCCATCTCTTGTCCTCTGGAAGTAGCTTTCTCCACTTGAAGCGTCGCTGGAATTCTCGAGGATCCTGTAGTTCACCATTCGTGCTTGAGTAGGAGACCAATCATAGATTGTGTTCTGCTCCTCCTCTTCAGTCCTCATGTGCACGTCACCATCTTCATCCACTTGTTGTTGTCCATGTTCTGGTCCATGCCTTTCTCGCACGCGTCTTTCGCTTCGGGCTATCAAGAAGCGGTCGTAGGCTGCTTGAACTCTGTTGACTCGAAGGGGTTCAAGCTGCGGTGGTTGAACTTGGTCATCACTCACATGTCCTCTGTACATCTCCAGCATCTGTGTTGTCTGCCGGACATAGTCTCTTGCATGTAGTTCTGCTAGAGCTCTGCGGTGCATGTCACGTCTCTTCCTCTGCATCTCATCATGAAGTTCCTTCAACTTGTTCCACCATGTGATCATGCGCTCTTTCAAAAGTGCTCCAGCAAGTACTCCTCCAAGGAGAAAAATGAAGTTCCAGAAAATGAAACCACGTAGAGTGAACTTGTAGTCCATCTCCCACCAACCAAGCCATGTCATTGCTTCTTGTTGGATCTCATTCTCCACGGTGTTGGTCATCTCACTTGTACCAAGAGTTTCGACACACATGCTCAGTAGTGTCACTGCTTTCACCATTTGGCGGGGAACAGGTGTTGGGCTTACACCATCCACAAGGTTTTGTAGAAGTGTTCTTCTCACCTGCTTCATCCTCTGAGCTGTTGCCTTCTTGCGAAGAAACTCATTGAACTCCTCTTCGCCAACCGTCACATAGCCTCCATTGTTTTCATCCTCCTCCACAAAGCCGAGAAGGTACATCAGGAAGTTACGCCGGTTTCTTGTCAGCTTCTTGGTGTTGAGGTCTGCCACATTCAGAAGGGTTCCCACTCCTGTGATAGAGAGGGTTTCTTTCTTCACCTCCTCCTGAATCCAAAGCAGTTTCGTCTCAATGTGCTTCATGCGCCCCACACCGAGGCGTTGCACAAACTGTCGACATGAAGACGAATCTGTCACTGCCACCACTTTGCATGTCTCTTGACATAGGAACCTCCAAACCTCTGCAAGATGAAGTGCTTCTGCCACTCCTCCAACACATGCTGTAAGCTCTGCCTCACAACTGGAAAGACAAATTGACTTTTGCGTCCTGCTCCAAGACTGCACTAAGCCTTTGTCCACAAAGATCATCACTGAAGACGTTGAGTGCCTCTTGTGTCTTTCTGAGCTGCGGTCACCTGCCCAATCACTGTCTGTGAAGCATTCCAGCACATGTCCATCCTCGACTTCATTGTGCTTGTCGTAGAGCTCATTCAGCTTACTGAAGTCCTTTCTCACATACGGCAAAAGAATGCCATAAGATTCTGTGCCTTTCAGGTAGAGGATCAGGCGCTGAATCCCCTTGACTGCTTCCTTCGTTGGATTGCTCATGAACTGAGCCAAATTTCTCACCGAGTTCTGGACATCTGGGCGATCTTGGGATAAGTAAAGAAGTGTTCCCAAGGCGCTTCTGAACCTCTTCTTCTCTGCCTGGTCGACGACTTCACCTTCAAGACGATCGATTGCGATGTCAGGCGTTGCGCGTTCCTTTCTTTCTCCAAGTCCATACAATTGAACCAAAGCTGGAATATACCTCTCGTGAGGTTTCACTATCACACCTTGCTCACAAAAGTAGTAGCGCTTCTTCAAGAATCTCACCGGATCCTTTGGGCTTTGATCCTGCGGAAGAAGTTCGCCTCCGCTCATGGTGAAGATTTTCTTCAACTCCTCATTGGCCCATTTGAGCGCTTCTTCTGTTCCAGCTAGCACCATGTCATCAACGTGCGCCAGCACCACCACGTTCTTTGTCATGTGGCGGAACATCGCCGGAAGGCATGCCAGGCTTTCAAATCCCAATTGCAAAAGATGGGATGTCAGGAAGTCAAACCATCTTGCTGCTGCATTCCGCTGTCCTGGAAGACATCTCCTCAAGCTCCAATATTGAGAGGTAGCTTGGGTCCACCATGTAGGTACCTGTACCAGGATCATCTCTTGCTGCGGAACCAACAAAAATGCGTCCTTCACGTCCAGAAAACATAGGAACCACCTCCTCACACAATGCAAAAGAACCATGAGCCTTGTTGCTGCATTGTGGCTAGTGGGTGCAAATGTCCCATAGTTCCCCTTGTCACCAGCTTTGAACTCTCTTGCCACATAGCGGCATCGTCGTCGCCATTGACCATCACGAAATCTCCAATCAAACACGCTTCGCGTCGAAAGAAGTTTGCCATGTTCCTCCTCTTCTGGTGTAGGGTTCTCCATGACTCCCATTGCTAAGAGTCTTGTGATCTCGATGATCCCTGCCTCAGCTTCTACCTTCTCGAGTTCTTCTGCTGAAAGGTCAGGTGGCTGCCCTTTGTCCATAGGCTCCTCCATGTCCTCGTACTCCTCGTTCTCGAAGTCTTCAAGAGCCATTTCTTCGCCATCAAGGTCATCGTAGAGATCTTGCTCCCACTGGTAGTCATTGACCACTCGGTTGATGCTCCCAGCAAAATGCGGGGGAAACATCCGAGCTGTAGGACTTGAGCTTGGACTTGTTCTTGCTGCCTTCTGTTTTGGTTCCTTTGCCTCTGTATCATCCTCTATTGTTGCATCCTCTGCTGAAGGCAAAGTTGGTGTCGTTGGAATCTGAAGCCCTGCCTCGCCAAAGTTGGGTGCTTCCTCCTGCATGGAAGTTGAGGTTTGTTGACTTTCTACTCCCGGTTGGCCTGTCTGGGCGGTTTCCATCAAATT